CAGCTTTTTGGGTCCTGAATTTATTAAGGACACGTCAGAAAAGATCGCTATCATTAGGGATCGGATGCGTACAGCTCAAAGCAGACAGAAAAGTTATGCTGACCGTCGAACTCGTGCTTTGGAGTTTAAGGTTGGTGATCAGGTTTTGCTTAAGGTTTCTCCTATGAAGGGAGTAATGCGGTTTGGGTCAAAGGGTAAGTTATCGCCTCGTTTTGTGGGTCCTTTTATGATTACAGATCGGATTGGGGCAGTAGCTTATCGTCTGGCTCTACCAGATAATCTTCATAGGGTACATAATGTTTTTCATGTATCTATGCTGCGAAAATTTCTACGGGATGAAGATCGATACCAACACATTGATGTGGGTGAGATTGAGTTGCAACCCGATGCAACCTATTTGGAACAACCTTACTGTATTCTCGATCGTAGGAATCAGATACTGCGCACGAAGACTATTCCATTAGTACGTGTACAGTGGAGTCATCATAGTGCTACAGAGTCTACTTGGGAACGGGAAGATATTATCCGTGCCAAGTATCCAGAACTTTTTAAGACAGGTATGTAGTGAATTTCGGGGACGAAATTCCTTTATTAGGGGGGGAGAATGTAATACCCCGTAATTTTAAAGAATGTATTTAAATTAATTTTGTGTTAGGTTAATTAATTTTATTTATTTGTGCATACTACATTATTTTATTAAATTCATTTAATTGTGCATGTAAATTAATTGTGTATGTTAAAATAGTAAATTCATTCATTTAATTGTGCATGTATTATTTTAATTACTTTTATTTGTTGATTATGTTTAATTAAGCAATATTAGTTAATTAGAGTATTATATTTGTGTTATCAAGTATTATGATGATATAATATATTATTTTGTAATAACAATAATAATAATTATATTAGTTTAATAATAATAATAATAAGAATATAATAATAATAATAATAAAAGTTTATTAATAATAATATTAGTAATAATAATAATAATAGTTATAATAATAATAATAGTATTAAACCAAAGTCATGATGAAATTAGAGATTAGGATAGGATTGCATCAATGGTTATGGTTGGAATTAAAGCCATATAGGTAGGAATATGAGAAATGGGTGAGAAGTTATTATAAATTAGATATTTGTAATATTTATATTATATATTTTGTGTATAAATTAACTAGCTTGCCTTAGAAAAAAATAAAAGGGAGTTAGAAGCAAAGTATAAATTCTAGAGAGCTATTTTATAAGAGTGAAAGGAAAAGAGAAAGAGAAAGAAGCTTGGACCGGTGTAGGCAATTTTACCCGACTACGCGCAGACCGGCGGATTTATTTTAAATCCAAAAAGGCAAGTTATTATCTACTTTTCCCCTTTGAATTAATAAATTAATTGTTTAGCTTATTTTTATGCATAGAGCCAAGGTTTGGAGGTTAATAAATTATTAATTTTATTTTATTAAATTAATGGAATTTTAATTATATAGGATGGTATATATTTATTTAATGTCCTATGAAATTAATAATGGCTAAAAATAATTAAATAAGACTTTAGGGATTTTTCTAGAATTTTCTAGATTTTTCCGGGCATTTTCTGCAATTTCCGGCGACCTTCCGGCGAGTTTTCCGGTCGCCGGCAGTGGGGGAGACGACCGGAGTGATCCGGTGCGACGCGGCACACCATAGGAGGGTGTACGCGCGCATCCTGGCCATTAGTGGAGTCTGATTGATCCGGTGCATCGCGGTCCATGATACCGCGGTACACCCGGATCTGTGGGCGTTGGATGGAGGGAAGATAGGGTGAGATGATTCGGTGTGACGCGAGTACGGAATCCGGATGCAGCCAACCAACCAGGAAGTGACACGTCAGCAAGGCACCCTTAGTGCGCGCGTGGCAGCGCGTGCGCGCGCGTGGGAGCGCGTGGCTGATGCCAGACGCGCGTGGAGGCGCGTGGGAGAGTGGGGAAGGTTGGGCTGCGCGTGGGGAGGCTCTGGGAGGCGCGTGAGGGCGCGTGTGGGGTCCCTACAGCTGCTGGAAATTACCAGAATACCCTTAGGGCCTGTTTTGTAAATTCCAGAACCTTAAACTTGGATTTTTAGGTACTGTGTTGGTAATTACGGGTTTAACGGGCCACGAAATTATTATTTTAACACTCGTTACTTATTCTTATGGCCGATTAATCTTTTCTAAGCATTTATTGGCTCGTTCGCAGTACGGATACTAATGTGATTTATTTAACGACATTGTAAAATATAAATAGTGTTATTATCGTATTTAATGGTATCAAACATTACTGTTAAATTAAATAAGGCCATGGTTTTAGTCAGATAAATTATCCATGATATCTTATAGGATGTTTATACTGTTAATTGATATATAAACCATGATTATTATGCTGTGTGCATTTCAGGAAATAAATGGACTGTTTAATTATGTCGCATTTATATTATATGGATGTGTTGCCATATAGAACCATATGAGCTGGCTAATAAGTTTAGACTCATTTATACCTTATGCATTCGTTGCGATAGACAGATGTGTGGCTGTCGGGGTATGTGGTTTAATATTATTGGCATGTGTTGCCTAATTGACATTCTCGGTACATTTATTAATATTGTTGGCATGTGTTGCCTAATTTATATGCTCAGTATATTCATCAGTACTTTGCGAGGTGTTATCACTGTGTAGTTCGTTATAGTCTGTGTTGTCAGTACCGTACACCATGTATAATAGCTGATTTCCCGGGTAGGGAAAGGCGACACTTGACCACCTAGTGTGAGTCTAAGTGATCACCGTCTATTCTGGTTGAGGTCATGTTATACATCGGATAGTTCCCGTAGGATGTATACAGATATAGTACTCATCCGATTCATAATGATTAATTTATTTGATTCTCTGATTTGGGTCATAGTAGAGAGGACTTGCTCGTGGGGTTGACCCACCATTGTTGTTATTTCAGGATACGGTCAGTATCCGTTTCAAGGCTGAGGTTAGCAGTGTGGGACCATCATCCGAACTCATCTACTCCTACGATCCAGTGCAGGGTAGAAGTTTTATGTAGTATTTTAGTTTCAGTTTTTATTTACTTTTGACGTTGAACTCTCAGGGTTATATTTAGGGATCCCTGACGTAGGATTTCCAAGTTGTAATGAAGTACTGTATTAAATAAAGGATGGATGGATGTTGTATTATTTAGTGTTCCTTTCCGGTCTAAATTCTTTTATTATCATCATTTTGTATTCCATGCTTGTATATTGCCAATTGTTTTTGATATCCCTCGTTTTTCGTGTATAAGCCTGATCAACTTATGCGTGGAAAATGTGGGGGTGTTACATAAGCCCTATAGGTTTTTAACCTAAAATTAAACAATTGAAACTTGAATCTTTAAATCAATCAGATTAATATTGCTTACTTATGGTACGCAAGTTCTCATAAGTTTTTCAACTCAAAATTGAATAAGTATCATAAATTACTTAATAAAAGTACTGGACATAGAGCATGGTTAAATGGCCACACAACTTCATGTTAAACTAAAAGTTTACTTATACATGTAATTCAAGATATATACCTCATATTGATACGTGTAGCATAAATATCAACAACGAGGTTTAAATCATCCAAAACCCCATATAATATGATATGTAATATTATATATAATATAATATGATATATATATATGTACAATTGCATACAAGCAACATTGAGTTTTCAAACCAAAATCAATCTTTCAAATTAATTTTGAACGAAAGACAAATACCTGATAATTTTCTTTTCATGCACACATTAATTCATATACATATAGTTAAAGACTTTTAATCTTCATGCACATCAATATATAATTCACACAAATTAAGACATTTAGTCTCATTGTACATCCATGTCAAATTATTTGGGATAATGATGTACTGCTTATGAATGGTTAGATAACGACACATTACTGTATCAGTTACTATACATGTATATGAATATATAACTGAATACCAAATTAAATAAATATTCAATCCTGATTTCTTTCAATATATGTTCAAATAGTTTATGAGAATATATATATATAATCTGAGAATATATATATATAATCACATATTCACATCTATATAATTGTTGTAAATTCATTCAACATAGAAAACTGCAAATCCAAATTGAAATTATAAATCCAAGTATTTATAATTTTCTTTTCAATTTAATTTCAAAAGAAACAATTGGGTCACAATATAACAGAAGTAAACATGTATATATGTTTCCACACTAATATCATTGTTTTTCTCGTTCGGCGTGCACACTTTTTAAAGGAAACCCAATTATACATTACTTAACAAATGGATTGCTTATACATTCCATAACAAACTAATTGCTTAAAATATTCGGCGTGCACAATATATCATAATATTTTTAAAACAAAACCTTGCTTATATATAAATCAGTACATACACACAATTTTTAGCTTTACATCTGATTGATCACCCACGAAAACCGAGAACACAAAAGTACAGAAAAAAAAAGTTTAAAGGCAATCATTGCGATTTCAAATACACCGATTTAAATATACTGTATCATGAATCAATCTTTAGTGTTTTGATTTCTACAAATCCTAACTTGGCTCTGATACCAATTGTTAAGTTTTAATTAAATAATTTATATGTAGAAATTAAAAATACTACAATTAATTAAAGAGATAATTTAATCTCGTACCTGATTGACGATAAACGCACATATATCTTTAAATTTTAGACATAGCCTTAGAATTCTTTATGATTTTGTAAAATATTTGAGTGCTTTATCTCCTTCTGAGAGTTGTCATTTGATAGGGCTGAATAAGGGTTTAAAACCCTTATATATAATAACAATAGAGGGACGGCTTCTCTACAAATAAACATAACTAAGCCTCCATTCTTATCATGGAAATTTAGATATAAATTGTTAGAATTAAATCATACCAAATAAGTTAGAAAACCACCATCCAATTGTATAAAACCATATTCCCAATATATTAGATCACCAAATTAGAAAGTACAACCCAATCCATCAAGTATCAATAATCACAATGCAATCTTATTTAGAAAATAATAATATTATAATCACAATGCAATCTTATTTAGAAAATAATCACATAGGACTATAAAATAATAATAATAATTTATATATATAAAAATTTCCAACAATTAAATACTACTTTTGACATGAGGATACACTATTAATCAAAAAAATAGTACTCCCATAGAAATGGTTCATCAAGCTGGCATCCATTATCGGCTCCAGCCAGCTGCCATGGTGAAGAATAGATACAATATCCATTACGTTGATTCATGCCATCGAAGGAGAGATCGGGTAGGTCAAAAAACGTATCATCAGTTGATAGAGAATTTGATGTTTCAAGAGTGTGATCAGATGATAAAGAGGTTGATGTATGGGAATTAGGAAGCACAGGTTGGGTTGGCTGGGCATCAGTTTCACAGGGCATTGACTCCATGAACGTAGCTGCAGCCGCCTTGGCAGCCGCAGCTTGGATGTCCTTTGGTGATATGGTGATGGGGCGGGGAAGTTCATTGGCCAGTTGAGGGAAATTGAGATAAGCTGTGTGGCCTTTGATGGCCATTGCTGCTACGTCATGAGCTCTAGCCGCCATTTCAGCTGTAGGATATGTTCCCAGCCATATCCTTGATTTCTTCCTCGGCTCGCGAATTTCGGATACCCATTTGCCCCATTCACGCATCCGTACTCCGCGATACCCCGGGTGGTTGTCGCCCTTAAGCTGCCTCCTTGTGGGCTTATTGCCACTATTTTCTTCTTCTTTAGCTTCTTTTGAGCATTTTTGAGCCTTGCACTCATTTGAAGTACTTTCTGTGCTTTGGTTTAAGCTAGAAAATGAGTTTGAAGCGTACAAAGATGTCGAGGAGGAGGAGAAGGTGGTGGTGGTGGAAGATGAAGGGAAACATTCTTGAGCTACACTTACTATGTTGATATGCTCTTCCATGATAAGAGGCCAGTCTTGTGGTAGGTAGAAAAGGAATGTGAATGATATAGGTTGAGGCTTTAGTGATTCCTTCCATACTTAGTACTATGTTTAAATAAGAAAATAGAAAGAAAAAAACAAAGTATGGGACCAATTTTGCATATATCTTCATGTCATTTATATATCATGTGTGTGTATATTTGATTTATTAAGAATATGTAACCGTTTAGTATATTGACAACCAATTTTGCATTTTTTTTCCATGGGTATGAATTGTTGGCATTATTTGAATATCTCTGAATTTTGGGTTGATAATCATAGGCCATATAATTTGTGTTCATTCGAACCATGTATATCCACATGAAAGCTGACCAAGGTCCCTTGTAGGGTCATCTGAGATCGATGTTCCCTCTTCATTCTGAATCCCTTGAGATTTGATCCTCAATCATGGCTCGTGGCTCACCCTTGGCCTGACTAGCTCCCTGCTCGTCTCTACCTTCTGCACCCGGGTCAGGTGGTCATGGCATCAGGTATCTACTTCACCTAATTTACCTCTCTCTTTTTTCCTGGTAAAATTAATTTGTAGTTACTGGCCATATATATTTATATCCAAGTTGGCTAGCTCAGTTGCCCTAACTCACCTAGTTACCTGGTTATTGCTAGCAAGAAGAACATTGTCCAACTGGCTTCTCTTCTAGCCAATTTAAATTTATGTTTTGTTTTTTACTGAATTTGAGGAATTCTGTGTAGGAGTTCTTAGAACACCACATATATTGAACATTTAATGTAGAACTGGCTTCTCTTCTATCCAATATAAATTTATGTTTTGTTTTTTACTGAATTTGAGGATTTCTGTGTAGGAGTTCTTAGAACACCACATATATTGAACATTTAATGTAAAACTAGAAAACCGCGTTATTTTAGTGAACTGTCTACTTGAATTTTGATACTACTATAGAGCCTAAGAAACATTGATGTCATGGTAAAAAAAAAAAAAAAAAATTCATGTGGATTATGTTTTTTTGGGGATGAAGACAATTGTTGCAACACTCGTACACATGTGACCTGACTATATAAATAATAAAACGATATATTTTCAGTGTTACAGTCTACTGATCACCATTTTTTTGGAAAAATTGAAGGCACACGTGGATATAAAACAAGTACAGACCTGAAAATTGTAAATATAGTACAAATGGTCACATGCTGGTAGGTCCAGAGCCTCTGGACTAAAAATAGGAAAGAGTGGGGGAGGGATGAATGAACGAGTCATGCCTAAGAAAGAGAGAAATATTCTCTTTTTTTTTATTTGATCGAATGAAAAGAATAATTCAAAAGATTATTCGTAGGGCAACTATTTTTTCTTTTCATCCTCTCTCCCGTCCAAATTTTGGATGGACAATAATTTTTTCAAAAACATGGGCTAAAATGGATGTTTCCTCCCTCTCTTCCTTTCCTTTTATTTCAATCAATCTCTTTTTCATTCATTTTCGGTCCTTTCTTCCATCCAAACATACCAAGTTTTTTTTATATAATTTTTTAATTTTTAATTTTTAAAAGTTGAACTAAGCGAAATAGTTGACTTTTTACCTAACATCTCTGCATAAAACCGGTGATTTTCCCGTGAAAGTTACCTGTCAATATCTTTCTACCCGTGTTTTGTCATTTTAATTTGGTTACCTAGTTTATAGACTCTATACCATACAATTTGATTCCAATCTCTTTCTTGGCAAGTTGAATCTGCTTGGAGCCTAGGATTGCTTCGTACGTGTCATCTAACGGACAGGTGGTCCTACCGAAATATCTTTCAAAAAAAAATAAAAAATCTTATTTCTTTTGTTGTAGTTTTATGTACGGACTAAAACAAAATTAATACAAAGAATTGGGGGAAAAGATGAATGAATTATTATTATTTTTCGGTAAATAAAGATGAATGAATTATACTAGTGATTTTTTGAAATTTAAATTGATATTATCTGATACAATAATTAAATCAATTTCACAAGCTAAGGATGACAATATAATTAGATATGTTTCCTATTTTCTATCAAATTTACTAGCGTAGTCAATTTGAGAGACTTCAATTACCCAACTTTCATTATTTTAATTACGTGGATTTGGTTATATGCATGGGTTAGAACAAAGAAAATCAAAAATGGCCTTTATTTTTTTTTTTTATAAAAAAATTTCTTCTAAACTGTCCAATTTTAAATACTACATATATTGCAGTAGAATTATTTTAGCAACAAATAGTGCCAAACCAAGGCACACAACCTTACTGATACTAGAAGACACTGCAATAATCTGACATGTATAATGATTATGACCGTACAATTTAAAGCTTCACTCACCGTAGGCAAAATGTTGAAATAATTCAGATTCCTTAGAGATTTTGTTTTTCCTCACGTCTTTTTTCTTTTTTGGGTTCAATTCGACCATAATTAATCAATCAATTCTTAAATATAGAGACATATGCGGTGTGAGTGATTGCTTCATATTATTTATATACGTAGTATATATATCGATATGATTTTGGCCATTTGATTGCATGCATCGTAGTTTGCATGGAATGTTCGGTCAAAAACACAATAAATGAGAGGGCCAAAGAGAGTAAGAAGTCCCTTTCATCTAGGAAAGGTGTGTGATAATTTAAAACTCCACAATCACGTGCAATGAGGGCATTATGTTATTGCCGTCGAGTGACGATACGTGATTATAGGTCATAATCGTGTTAAGGTAAGAATATTATATTAAATAAGTAAATTTAAACTTGATATATTTAATAATTGTGTTAGGAATTTTCAATACTAACTCGACATATTTATTAAACGGGTGAAGAGTAAAAAGACACCATTATATTTTGAAAAGTGTGCAAATAATAGTACTCATAAAAAATAGCAAATAAAGGTTTCTGACCCCAAAATGTGACATGTGGGTTATGTAATTAAAAAAAAAAAAAAACTTTTTAATACCAATACTACCCTTTTGGACTTCCCAAAACTTTCCCACATTCATTTCTCCTTCGTTTCTATATATAATATCCCAATTTCATTATTTTTCTTTCTATAAATACCCTATATTATCTCGATAATTTCTATTTGTATATATATTTTTCTTCTCATTCTCTGTCTCTCTCTAACGGGTGTTTCTCCCATGTATATAAATTCTATTTTTTTAATACTAATAATACGGAGTAATAAATAATAAATAAATTAAATTTATCTTTCTTAAAAAAATTCTACTTATATCTTAGTGTGTATTAGAGACTCTTTGCATGTGTGAGATGTTGTGTCTTGTGTATATATATACAATAAATTTATTTATTTATTGATTTATTTTTTATTTTATAGAAATAATAATATTTTCTAAAACATAAATGTGATTTACACATTATGTTAGTAATTTATTTTCCCATATTCACGTGATCAAATAATTAAATATGAATTTACCAAAGAAAAAGAATAAAATTAAATATCAATAAGACGAATATGTATACACCTAAATGTCTATACCTAATATCTATTATATACTCTTTTAATAATGAAATTATTGGTCAAGTATTAAGGGTTTGTCATATGTATAAAAGAAAATAGTTTATTCCGTATAGAAAATATATAGTATTTTTATATTTATCTATATTACTATTTAGTAATTATTCATAGGAATATGATTTGGCACTTGAATATATATATATATTACATTATATTTCATTTGATTTTTTAGATAAAGATAATAATAAAAACTATTTATTTGATTTAAAGATATATATTTTGCATTAAATATATATTTTTTTATTATTTATTGATTTTTTACATTATATTTCAATTGATTTTAGTCTCTAATTTTGTGTAAGCCATCTCAAGTAATTTCAACTTCTACTCATTTTTTTATTATTTTTGTAAAGAGAACCTTGAGGGGCATTTTCGTTTTTTTGCCTATCTCACTTTATTTAACTGACAATAAGCCATTGTTTGCTCACTTTTCATATTACAACGGTGGGATTTCAACATGAGGGATGCTATTTACACACTTTTTTTTTTTTTTTTTGTTTGCATTTCACCCGTTTAATTACACTAAATGTACACACACTTCACATCAAAGGCTTGAGTAAAAACGATTATGTTATTAGTGTTTTATGGGTAAAGTGCAAAAACATTACCCCTATAGTTTAATATGTGTATATAAATTTATACCATTTAAAATATGATAAAATAAAATTGTAATACCCCGTATTTTTAAAGAGTTTATTTAAATTAATTTTGTATTAGGTTAATTATTTAATGTGTAGATTTATTTATCTTTTAATTGTGTATGCTAAATTATTAAATTAATATTATTTGTTGGAACATGTAATATAGATTGTATGCTCTATATATGTATTGTGTTAGTTTATATACTTTATTGGTTATATTTTATATTAATTAATATTACTTAATTAAAGTAATACATTTGTAATGTAGTGTATTATTATGTAATAATAATAATAATAAGAATAATAATAATCATAATAAAACAATGTCATGATGTCATTTTGATATTAGGATATGAATTCATTTACTATGGTAAAATTTTAGGTCAAATAACTTGACTTAGGTTGCATTGCCTTAACTTAAATTAGGTAGGAATGTTTTGGTATTTATTATAAGTTAGATATTTGTAATATTTATATTATATAAGTTAGTGTATATATATATATATATATATATATATATAGATATATATGTTAGTTAGCTTATCAATTGAAGGAATTCACGTAAGTAGGAGAGGAAAAAAAATAACAGTGAGCTATTCTAAAAGAGTGAAAGGAAAAGAGAGACAAAGAAGCTTGGACCGGTGTAGGTGATTTTACCCGACTACGTGCAACCGGTGGATTTGTTTCAAATCCATAAGGCAAGTTATTATCTACTTTTCCTCTTTGAATCCATAAATTAATTATTTAATGGATTTAGATTATTTTGGAGCATAGAGAGCATGCTAAGATTTTAATAAATTATTATTTTTAGTTTATTAAATTAGTGAAATATTAATTTTTTAAGGTGTTAGATATTATTTTATTAGCCTATGTAATTAAATATAGCTAAAAATAATTATTTAAGGCTTTAGGGATTTTTTTAGAATTTTCTGGGATTTTTCTGAAAA